ACATATGCACAGCTGCACACACACGAACACACAGTCATGCACACACAAAAGAGGCAGAGGGAGGAATGAAGGAGAAAGCACAACAGGAGCTCAGGGTGAGGATTAAATTCTGGCAGAAAGCTTGCTTGGCTTCAGCCTGGGCCTGAGTTCTGCTAAAGGGACAAAAACAATGCTTAATTATATTTGAGGCATGAATGCTTGTGACTACTCCACCCAGGCCCGTCTCACGGCTGTTCAAACATTAACGCACTGAAGCCTCACAAACCCCTATGACTAAGTGCTGTTCTTCTCTTGTGTTTTCAGAGATGGGGAAACTGAGGCACGAGGTATCCCAGTTATCCACTACGTCACTGCTAGGCTCCTAGATGCATCTGGGAAGGCAATGTAGAGAGGCCATGACAGTAATCATGACACAAGGTTACTTGGCCGATCCTTCGGCTTGCTGTCACGGAAAATTTAATGTCATCTCCCCACTGGAAACACAGCACATACTCCACACACGCACACACACATACACACACGCATGCACGCACGCACGCACGCACACACGCACACACACACAGCTCATCAGCACCCAGCTGAGAGGCCCAGGAGAAAGGGCAGTTTGGCGGCCAGACACTCACCTGCTAGGAGGACCAGCAGGCTCAGAACGACCTCTTGCATGGCACAGCGTTGATCTAGAGGAGTCCAGAGAACAGGACCAATCTTAGCAGAGTGACCAGGACGCAAGGCCCTGCGCCTCTGGTTCCCTGTCCCACCTGTTGCTCACAGGGAGCACAGCCCAAGGTACACATGGGAAGGCTGGTAGTGAGCCTGAAGCTGGGAGATAAGGAGCTCCAAAGTCAAGTGGGGGCTGGGCGAGCACTCAAGCTCCGGGAAGGAGCAGCCATTGCATTGCCTGGACAGAGACTTTAGGTTTTACCATAATGAATCTTTTTTTTTTTTTTTTTTTTTTTTTTGTCTTTCGAGACAGGGTTTTTCTGTGTAACAGCCCTGGTAGTCCTGGAACTCACTCTGTAGACCAGGCTGGCCTCAAACTCACAGAGATCGGGCTGTCTCTGTCTTCAGAGTGCTGGGATTAAAGGCGTGCGCCAGCTCTGCCCAGCATGAATCTTTTCTTGGAGAGAAGAGGTGGAGTGGTGTTTTGCTATGTCCAGGCTGGCTTTAAATCTGTCATCCTCCTGCCTCAGCTCTCCAAGTGCTAGGATTACGGCACCACATTCAGCTTGTTATCCCTGTGTGTATGATGGGGAAACTGAGGTTCTGAGAGGTGAAAGTTGATGTCCAAGATCACTTGGTCCTTAAAACAAGATTTAAACAATGCCTTGTTCACCCCACTAGAGGTTTATAATGAAGAACAGTGAGGGCCTCGGGGTGTTTTGGGGAGTAGGGTGTCAAGAGCCAGGTGGCATGAGGCCCAGGTTCTGGGAGTGGCTCCCACAGACAGCTTGGAGCCTGCCCGGCTCTGCCCACACACTGCAGGCTTCTAGCTGGGGCCTGAGCTGACTCCCTGGGCTCCTGGGTGGGTGTATGGCAGAAATAATGCCATGTTGGTGGAGCATGTGCAGAGGGGAGTCCTAGCGGCAGTCTTCCCTCCAGCTTCTGCCCCACCCTTGGGTCTGTCCCTTCAGACCCCGCTGAGCATTCTCCCCTGTCCCAGCTCAAGTCCAGTCTCTGTCCCCTACCCGAGCCTTAGCCCCTGACTCAGCCTCCGAGCTTGCTCCTCACCCCAGTTCCTGCCCCTTTGGG